GCGGGCGGGGCTGGGGGGGGGGGCAGGGAGCAGCGACGCGGGCGGGGGGGCCTCACCTGCCTCGCTCCACGACGCACCCGTCCTTGAGCACCAGGATCTGGTCCGCGCCCACCACGGTGGAGAGTCTGAGGGGCCAGGAGAGACCTTGGACTAAGGGCCCAGCGCCCGGCCCTGCTCCCTGAGCACCCCGCTGTGCCCGTGACACTGCATGGGAAGACCGCAGCAGTCTCTCCTCAGACCCCCCAGCCCTGGCACCTCCCCTACGGCTGCCCTGCTCGGGAAGTGCAGACGTGTCTCCCCACAAGCACCCCTGTTTTCCCAGCCAGATGCCAACAGGGACCTGAGCCCGCGTCTCAGCCTCCCACGGGTGCTGCACCCCAGTCCTGGGAGGGGCCGCGCTGGGCTCCCCCCGCCAGGCTGGAACAGGGTAGCCCCTCCACCCCCGTATCCTAGCCCCAGCCCACGACCACGCACCTGTGGGCCACCACGATGGTGGTGCGGTCGGCGCAGACCTGGGCCAGCGACGCCTGGATGTTGCGCTCCGTCTCCGTGTCCAGCGCCGATGTCGCCTGGAGCCACAGGGACACGCGTGGGGGCCACGCAGCCATGTGGCACCGAGCCGCAGAGCAGGCGCGGCCGGCACAGAGGCCACGGCTTGACAGGAAGGGGACGAGTCGCCCTTACCTCGTCCAGCAGGATGATGCCGGGGTCCTTGAGGAGGGTGCGGGCAATGGCCACGCGCTGCTTCTCGCCCCCGCTCAGCTTCAGGCCGCGCTCACCCACCTGCGTGTCGTAGCCTGCGGGCACAGCCCGGCGTCACCGTGCCCCAGCCCCTGCCACGGGTGGGCTTGTGGGCAAGGGAGGTGGCTCCCAGCTGCATCCCCCCAACACCCTTGGGGCCCCGTCCCAGCATCCCCCCCACAGCCCTGCGCAGCCCCCGGGTGCCCGCCCCGCGCCCGTGGGCGTCCGGCCTCACCGTCGGGGAAGGAGAGGATGCGGTCGTGGATGTCGGCGGCG